TTTCAGAAGTCAGTGTGCTCTGAAGGAGTCTTTTAAAAGAACCCACCTGTGCTATAAAAAATTTTAAAAAAATTTAAAGACTAAAATGCTTCTTCTGAACACCTATCCATTTACTGCAATTTCAGTGATTTATAGAATTGTAACATTAGTACATGGAAGGGTGCAGTTTTAAGAGGATAGTTATTTCTGAGAAGGTGCCATGTTTTTGTTGTTGAACAATAAAAAAGAGCATTTCAAAGTGGACAAAGCCACAGCAGTGGATTTACAATTACTATGAAGTATGAGATTCATACTTGAAGACTTCAATATAACTATGCACCATTTCACTGTTTTTTAGGCTTCAGTTGTATAATCTACAACATACATGTTGGTAAGCTACAAAGTGTATGCTGTTTTGTTCATTCATTTGTCTCAGAGGCATAGACACTTACACTTAATCCTCAGGTAATATGCCAGAGTAACATTTTCCTTGTCCACATCATCATTTCTACTTATTTTTTCCACAGTAATATTTTATTTTCATGCCCACATTTCACTTTCTTGTCATTGCTCTCAGCTTGTAGAAGAGATAAAATTTATATAACAAAAACTGTTACAGAAGATAGAATGTAGTGAGCTTCATATATATATATATATATATATATATATCTTTATTGATTTCAGAGAGGAAGGGAGAAGGAGAGAGAGATAGAAACATCAATGATGAGAGAGAATCATTGATCAGCTGCCTCCTGCACGCCCCGCACTGGGGATCGAGCCCACAACCCAGGCATGTGCCCCTGGCCAGAATTGAACCTGGGACCCTTCAGTCCACAGGCTGACGTTCTATCCACTGAGCCAAGCTGGCCAGGGCTGTAGTGAGATTTTTAATAGAAGAGAAAGCTACAAGTTTGAAAATGATAAATATTTCAGAAAAAATAAATTCAGGGCTATAAGAAAACAAAGAGAGAAATTATTTTCTGTTTGGGATCAAGAAAGGCTTGAGTATCTAACCTTTGTTTTAGGACTTCAAGTCGGGTTCGATTATTCGCAAGGTGAGATAGGTAAAGAGAATGCAAGCAAAGGAAATAAGTTTCAATGCCTTATGAAGAAGTTCAAACTGGAGTCTGAAGGACAATTTTCGAGAAAGGAAATGATGAAAGTATACCTTCACTAAATTCATATTTCAGCCCAGTCCTTTTTCTGAACTCCAGCCCCATATATCCAATTACTTACGGGTAAGACAGTTCTACTTGGAAGCCCCGAGGAAAGTGTAATTCAGTTTTCTAAACTAACTCATGTCTTTCCTCATCCCTGCCACCCATTTCTACTCCTCAGCAAAATCTTGCTTTTCTCTCTGGAAATATCATCAACCACATCTTCTAGGCCAGAAATCTGAACATCGTTCATGATTGCTCCCTTTCCCTAATCTTTAAAGCCAAGAAGTCACTATGTTGCTTTATCTTTGTCGTTTTCTTTCTTGGAAGATTGTATCGTCATTGTTTCTTTCTGTGCATCCCCACTGGTCCCATTCAGTACGGCACTGTGCTTCAGAGCACAGACTGGGAGACTGACTGCGTGGTCTTTCCAGACCTTACTGACTGTGTGACCTTAGGGATGTTATGCAACACTTCTATGCCCACTTTCCTGATCTGTACAAAGGGGATAATAACTGTCCCTTCCTCAGTGTGGTGAGGATTGAATGAGCCATTATATGAAAGTACTTACCAAGCACTATAGACGGGTTTGCTTTTATGAGATGACCGTCTCTTGCCTGGTCTACTGAAAGAGCCTGTTGATTATTCTCCTGGTTTCAAATTCTAATCCACTCAAATCCCTTTCCCAATATGAAACCAAAGGAATCTTTCTAAAATGGATATCTGATTATGATTTTTTTGAATTCTCTAAAATGACATTATATTGTCTTTATGATAAAGTTCACATTTCTTTTTTTTAAAAATATATTTTATTGATTTTTTACAGAGAGGGAGGGAGAGAGACAGAGAGCCAGAAACATCGATGAGAGAGAAACACCGATCAGCTGCCTCCTGCACATCTCCCACTGGGGATGTGCCCGCAACCCAGGTACATGCCCCTGACTGGAATCGAATATCTGATTATGATTTTTTTGAATTCTCTAAAATGACATTGTATTGTCTTTATGATAAAGTTCACATTTCTTAACATGACCTTTACCTGGGCCCTGTCTACCTCTTTAGCTGCATGTTTACCGATTCTGCTCTCCCTGGACGTTCAAGTCATATCAACATTTCTGTTCCTTAAATACATCTCGATGGCTCTAAACATTGTGTCTTTGAAAATACTTGCCTCTGATTTGACCACTCCTTACCATTTCTTTGCTTGAGTAAAGTTTATTCATAGTTTAGTTGTTACACCTGGGGAGTGTGTATGTGGGCAGAAGATCCTACAAGTGCTACCAAGGAAGCATGTGATAGGAGGCAAATAAAGAAAATTCACCAGGGAGAGGGAATAAACTATGTCAAATGTTGCTGCTCGATCAGGTTAGATGACAACTGAGACTTGACCATTGGATTTAGCAACATTATTTTTTAATCACTCACTAAAGGAGTTATCGATATTTTTAAAGTTGGAATTTTTACATTCCATAGTTGGTTTTTCAAAGCAGAATATATTCCCTTTATGCATATTTAATTTAGGAACCATACATTATAGTAAAACTGAATTCCAACATTCCATACTGCCACTCAATTGAAAATAGCCTCTGCCATGAGAAACCCAGTGTAGAGAAGCAGAAGAGGCAAGATGAGTTCAAATTATTTCAAATCCCATTGGATAACAAAAGATAATGCTTAGTCCATTATGATGTTTCTGCCTACACATTTCTCCACGTATGACAAGTGCATGCCAGACTGTTGTGAGCAGCTTTTTAGTCTACTTTTTTAAATTGTTATGGGTGTCCCTTATTTCAGAGCATGGAGGTCCCTGGACATCTCTTCTTTGTCTTCCAAGGACTCTCTCTGCCCAGAGAAGAAAAAAGCATTACCTTTTATCAGAGCTTTTACTTTAAATGTCAGGCAAAATGAAAAGATTATAAAAATCCAGCCATAGCCATTGATGGAATATTGTTGTTAATAGCATGTATTTAAAGCGCTATGTAGTAAGAGGTTTTTGTAGAATTTGTGGTCAAAGGGACCAAATAGCTACCATTAATGTTTATCCTGCTTACTATAATTCCTAATTATAAGAGTATTTAATGGGAGATGAAGATCAACTCATCAAATATACCTTATTATTCTGAATAGACCAAATATAGAGCTACTTTAAAATTTTTATTCCCATTACCACGAGAAAATTTTATCTGCTCTGAAAAAAGTATATATTAATCAGTGTACTTTAAAAATATTTTAAAGTATCCTCATACTGGCTAACAGTTCTCCTTTTGATCATCTATAATAATAAAAGCATAATATGCAAATTAGACCGGACAGCCAAACGTCCTTCCGGATGTCCTTCTGGACAAAGCCGTGGCAGTTGCAAGGGCCGAGGGCAGGCAGCCATGTGGCAGCCGGCAGCAGTGGCAGGGTGATGGGGTGGTGCCTTCCCCGATCAGCCTGGTCGCCTCCTGCAGAGGACATCCCCTGAGGGCTCCCGGACTGTGAGAGGGGGCAGGCTGGGCTGAGGGACACCCCCGCCCAGTGCATGAATTTTCATGCACCGGGCCTCTAGTAGTCTATAATTATAAGCAGTATTATCCTTGGCAAATCAATCTAATAATAATAGTTCATTGTAGTTACAATAAAAAAATCTTTCAGCCATTGTCTCAATTCATAGGTTTCTTGAGATGGGAGCTAATAAAAAAATTAAAGTAAATAGAGAGGAATATATCATGTGGCTTATTTTCAGGGATGCATATATAACAAAACTTAAGTATTTAAGATTTTAAATATGGCTAAACTATAATGTTGATTAGTCCATGTACCCAATATTGTTGAAATCAAACCACTTAAGAAAGATATTTACTAAAGTCTGTTTTTTAAAATTTGAAGGAAAATCAGTGTATATTCCTCCTACTTAAGAGCTACACATTCTGTCTTCTCTCTAACCCACTTTCCCTGTTAAGATTTAATTCTTTCTTCCTGGACCTTTGCTCAGAGGAAACAGATGAAATGGGAAATAACTGCTTACTGCCACTCATACTATATCCCTGAAATGTATTTTGGCTTGTGACCTTTAAATTATGGGGATAAATAAAATGAATCATGTCTCTCCTATGGCCCTGATCTGTGGGTCATGATGCTTGCTTTTCATCTGTATGAAAATGCTCTAGGCTGTGATGGCCATGGACTGGGTGAGGTCAGGGGGAGAAGGGGCAGTTGCCAGTTGAGTCAGGCAGGAGATGAGATGATCATCTGAAATGGAAAAGTTAACAAGTGGTGGATTCTTTGTGAGAGACATGGTAATTGTTGATGGTACCTTGCCCTTCTGTGGGTGAAGAGATGGTATAAGGACAATGTGGAAATTCCGAGTCTGTAAGGGAAGAACACCTAAGCAGAATGCTGAAAAGAGCTTATATGTGGGAGCCATGGCTGTGTGAATAGGGCTTGAAATTGAATAAAATGCCTCAGGCTTTCCCTGACATTTTATCTCCCACTAAGAAAGGATTTTCTGTAGGTACCATTTAAACATTGAGAATGATTTCCTCAATGAAAAATCATAGGCACTTTTAGAATTTCACTGCCACCTATTTTTGTTTGCTAAAGTGAGTCCTATTAAGTGTTTCATAAAGCCCAATGGTATTTACAGAGATATAAAAGTCAAAAATGTAAGCAAAGTTATTTGGTGTTCGAAATCAAGCGTGACTATTTTCCTGTGAAATCCCTAGCTGATGAGCTTTGCTTTAGTCAGCATTTAGTAGGAAGTGCATGCCAGTAAGATGAAAATGAATGTGTGCTCCATGTCAGGACACAACTTGCCTGACTGCCGTGGTTGGAACTGAGCGTATTCTAAGCACAGGGCCTGCTGCCTTTTCTTGGCCGTAGATATCGATGAGTGTGGGACCGGCAGGCACAGCTGCACCAATGATACCATTTGCTTTAACTTGGATGGTGGATACGATTGCCGATGTCCTCATGGAAAGAATTGTACAGGGGACTGCATCCATGATGGGAAAATTAAGCACAACGGTCAGATTTGGGTGTTGGAAAATGACCGGTGCTCTGTGTGCTCATGTCAGGTTAGTATCAATAACAATTTTTCATCATTTCTATTGAGGTGTGATGTGCATAGATTTCAAGTGAACAGCTTAATGAACTTAGAAAAATTCATATGTCCATATAGCCACCATTAGTATTAATAGAATGTTTTCATCTACCCAAACAGTTGCCTCTGTCCTTTCTTAGTTAGTCCCATTTCCCTAGCCCCAAGAAAACACCTCATTAAATGGAACCATATAGTATATACTCCTTTGTGTTTGTCTTCTTTCTCTGGGCTTTATGTTTTTGACATTCATTGGTATTCATGGCATATATCAGCAAAGCAATCCTTTTTATTGTTGAATAGTATTCCATTGTATGCAAGTGCCACAATGTGTTTATCTGTCACTTGTTGATGAGATGTTGTTGCTAACTATGCTATTGTTTTCATAGTCACACCACATTTGAATGAATGCATAAATGAAGCCAGCATGGACATGCGATGGCCTAGGAGTGAAAAATACCTATTTGGGATATATTTTAGTTTTAGTTAGATGTTCTGTTACATGTAACCAGTTAATAATGGAGACTTAAATTTTAGTTAAATGAATAATACTATGTACCAAGGTCTCAACTCTTATAAAAGAAGTTGAAAACAGTTTGTACAAAATCATAAGGTCTAAAATATTCCATAAACTTAATAATATGTAAGACTTGTTGACTAGCTACTAAATACACATGCCCTAACAAAACAAAATTTAGTTAGCATTCAAATTACTATCCTCATAAACAAGTACATGTATGTTTACACACACACACACACATATATATATATATATATATATATATATATACACATTTATATAAACATAAGGATCATGTAGTGGTTATTATTGTATATAGGACATTTCTGGAAAGTTTCTTTTTCTTCAAATAGTATGTAGGAAGGAAATGGAAAGTTCTCCAGCATGAGTAGTTTCTGCATGTTAGCTACAAAATGGAACTTTAAAGAAAATCAATTATATTGGATAAACAGTGCAAATTATCTCAACTTTCAAATCAACATCTACGATTTATATATGTATATATAATATATGTGTAATATATATTATATATGTGTGTGTGTACACACACAGACATGCACATATGTATGTTCGTATATTGAGAGATGGAAGCTTTTGATAAATGCTTTTCTTCCTTCTCATACAGAATGGATTTGTGATGTGTCGACGGATGGTCTGTGACTGTGAGAATCCCACGGTTGATCTTTTTTGCTGCCCTGAATGTGACCCAAGGCTTAGCAGTCAGTGCCTCCATCAAAATGGGGAAACCTTGTACAACAGTGGGGACACCTGGGTCCAGAGTTGTCAACAGTGCCGCTGCTTGGTGAGTTTACTGCAAGCAGTCCAGGAAGAGTTTAGGCCCAGAATCTAAATAGGAAAGCAACCTTGCCCTCCCCAACCCACCAGTACACGGCACCTGGCCATAGTGTCAGCAGTTACAAGTGAGCCAGGTTTGGATGACAACCTATGTGTCAGGACCTGAGAAGGATACTCTGGGGTAGACACGATGCACCATGTCGTGTATATTTCCAGAGAATATCCGAGCTCAAAAGAAGAAAAGACTCCCCAGCTTCCTCGGTCTCATTCAGGGTGGACTTACTCAGGCTCCAGCATCTAGAACAGATACCTAATGGCATATAGTATGCACTCACTAAATATTTGTTATGAATACAACAGTGGCATTCAGGAAAAAAATTATTTGTTTCCAAGTGGAACTTTTGTTAATCCATTTCTATCAGTCATACTGAGACTTTAAAAAATAAAAACAAAAAGAAATCACTCTTTTCCCTTCTAAAGATTGTTACTGTTGATGCTCTTTTTGTGGGCACCCAGTTTTAGACATAATATGGGTATGTTATAAATACTTATTTGAATGTTAGAATTGAATGTCTGTATATATTTATGAAACTTCTACTGGAAATGATAGGTCAAAAAGAAAATCTAGACTTGATAAAGAAAATACCAGTCATTTTTTTTCATTTGCCCAACTTCTTCTTTCTTTCTAGTGGTGCAAATGAAAAAGGAAAATTTGGTCTGTGTCTTTATGGAAGAAAGTTTCACAGATGCTACATTTAAAGTTATGGCTAGATTTCTTTCTATTTGTGTGAGGATATTTTTAAGGTAGTGCTTTCTTTTTATACTTTCAACCCCCAAAAAATCAATTGAGAGAACAAGGTCAGCTTCTGTGCCTGAAGGCTGCTTTCATCTCCAAAACCAGGAGATTCAGAATTATGGAGAAAATAGGAAACAGGTAGGAGCTACATTTTAGAAAGACCCAATTCATACAACTTTCCCAGGTGGAAAAAAAACAACTAAAATCAGTTCCTAATTTGCCCCCTCCCCCCATACCTAGAAACATATAAACGAACAAGAAAAACTGTCATATTTCTTACATATTTCAGTTTATTTTCTCATAAATGGACAAAATTTTATTTTATGCAGAAGGGAGTAAATGTGAAGTTAGGGGGAAAATATCAAAAGAATTTTAAAAAAGGATGGCATAGGCAACAAGTTTAATAAAAACCTCTTCCATAATAACCAGTTCTCCTTTTTCATGGGAAAGATAGGGGCATGCAAATTTGATTGTTTTAAGAGAATGGTTTTTGGGTTTGTTTTATTGTTGTTCGTGTTTAATCGATGAAGGACAGTTTAAAATTCAGCTGCAGGGTAGGCCTCCTCGCTGAGTGCACGATGCTCGGCCTGGGAGGTCTGAGCATACATGTCCTCCAGGTCAATTGCGTGTGCAGTGAACACCATGCTCCCTCCCTCCTGCCTCCTCCCCTGCCCGCCCTCCCTGCCCCTCCGCCCTGGCACCTCTGCTTTCCTTACAGCAAGGGGAAGTGGACTGCTGGCCCCTGCCTTGCCCAGAGGTGGAATGTGAATTCAGCGTGCTCCCGGAGGGTGAGTGCTGCCCGCGCTGTGTCACCGACCCCTGCCAGGCCGACACCATTCGCAATGACATCACCAAAACTTGCCTGGACGAGATGAATGTGGTGCGCTTCACTGGCTCCTCGTGGATCAAACATGGCACGGAGTGCACTCTCTGCCAGTGCAAGGTAAAGCCGTTCCATCCAGGGAGGGAGCTCTCGGCCAGCTGCTCCCCGAGCTCAGAGATAGTAATGGCCTAACCTGGCCAAGGGGACGTATTTCATGTCCTATTTATTGTTCCAGGGGAGGTGGGAAGTGGTGATCAGCTTTGTTAGTTCCAAGGCTGAAGGTCATGTGCATCCTTCAAGAATATACGGTCATGGAGCAGGAGGCACAGAAAGAACAACCAGAACAGAAACGACCTACTTGCCCTAAAGTATCTAACTGTACACATATTTAAAAAAACAAACAACAACACAAAAAACCCTACAACACCAAACTTCATGTTACTTCTTTCATAAGAGAACACAATATTATTGTATTGATTTTTATCTGGTCCTTTTCTGAGGTTTGTAAGATGCACCAACCAAGTAGATATATTGCATTTTCTAAAGTGGAAATCAATGAGGCAAAAATGGGCATAGTTCTTGGTTTGTGGTGATCAGTTACATTGAGCTGTTATTTTAAGATATGTTATTTACCATATTTTATTCCTACAGTTGGACAAAAATCATTACAAATATTTTTCTTCTCATCACAAGGAAAGAGAGCATTGTGTTTCTTCAGCAAGAACACACATGCAGAGAACATAGACATAGTCTGTAGAGTGCACAGATAGTGACAAACTTGGAAGTATTCTTCTTTGATGATTGTAGAAACATTTGATTCAGAAGTCATTGATCTTCATAGTCATAATTTTGGAATGAACACTAACATTAAGTAAAAAATCTGGAAGGCGTAATAGCAACAAGAAAGCAAAGATGTCCGATTTTTCCCGGCGTAGCACAGCCAGATATCTATAACCACTCTGGTTGTTGAAGTGAGATTTCCATTGAAAAATAATTTTTCATAGAGCAATTTAATTCAGATTCACTTAGTACAAATTCTTCCTAGAGTGGCCTAATGTAACAGGACAAAGAAATGTAAAATGCGTTAAGTCTGGAGAAATTATTGTCTATTTTAACCCCAAATTTCTAGCTCTTTCAATCACACAATTTGTCAATCAAGCATAGTTTTTTGAGTGAACCTTTAATGCTGTTTTCTGAAAGTACATTGGCAAATTTTACTACTGCTAAAAAGTTACTAATAATATATATGCAATATGCAATGTAATGTATATATATATATATATAATATGGGTACATTTAACAGTTCATATCTAGAAACTTAAGCATTAATGACCAATAGGGAAATACTTTCTGACATTTAATTACCAAATAAATTTGAGTCCCCTTATACTCCTAATCTGTTAGATTATTGTTCTGAGCAGTGACAACAAAAATGTATACCAGATAAAGAATGAAAAACACACAAATATGGCTCAGACAGATGCTTCCAATAAGAAAAATGCATTCAGGAATAGCTAGAAAAAAAAAGTGTTTTCTGGGGCAAAGATCATGAATGAGCTTGTTATTCACTGCCTTATAAACAACTACTAGAATTTTTTGGCTCATGGTAGGAAAGTATTCCAGAAATTGTATTTTGGCATTAAACTCATTTTTGTCAGGTAAGTGCTGATTCTGAGAAGTTACTAATTCATGCTGTTCCCCTGGAGTTTATTTATTTATTTATTTATTTATTTATTTATTTATTTTTGTATTTTAATATTTTTTTATTTTTCGCTTAAAGTATTACAAAGGGTATTACATAAGTGTCCTTTTTTTTCCCCCCCGCCCTTGACACACCCCTACCCTCCCTTACCCCCCAGTGTCTTATGTCCATTAGTTATGCTTATATGCATGCATACAAGTCCTTCGGTTGATCTCTTACTCCCCTCCCTCCTGCCCCCCAACTCTCTCTGGCCTTCCCACTGCAGTTTGGCAATCAGTTTGAGGCAGCTCTGCCTCTGTATCTATTATTGTTCAAAAGTTTGTAATGGTCTTTATTATCCATGAATGAGTGAGATCATGTGGTATTTTTCCTTCATTGACTGGCTTGTTTCACTTAGCATAATGCTCTCCAGTTCCATCCATGATGTTGCAAATGGTAGGAGTTCCTTCTTTTTAACAGCAGCATAGTATTCCATCGTGTAGATGTACCACAGTTTTCTAATCCATTCATCTACTGATGGGCACTTAGGCTGTTTCCAGATCTTAGCTATGGTGAATTGTGCTGCTACGAACATCTGGTTACATATATCCTTTCTGATAGGTGTTTCTGGTTTCTTGGGATATATTCCTAGAAGTGGGATCACAGGGTCAAATGGGAGTTCCATTTCTAATTTTTTGAGGAACCTCCATACTGCCTTCCATAGTGGCTGCACCAGTCTGCATTCCCACCAGCAGTGCACAAGTGTTCCTTTTTCTCCACATCCTCTCCAGCACTTGTCGTTTGTTGATTTGTTGATGATGGCCATTCTGACAGGTGTGAGATGGTACCTCATTGTTGTTTTGATTTGCATCTCTCGGATGATTAGTGACTTTGAGCATGTTTTCATATGTCTCTTGGCTTTCTGAATGTCCTCTTTTGAAAGGTGTCTATTTAGATCCTTTGCCCATTTTTTGATTGGATTGTTTATCTTCTTTTTGTTAAGTTGTATGAGTTCCCTATAAATTTTGGAGATTAAGCCCTTATCAGATATGACGTTGGCAAATATGTTTTCCCAAGAGGTGGGTTTTCTTGTTGTTTTGTTGATGGTTTCTTTTGCTGTGCAGAAGCTTTTTATTTTGATGTAGTCCCATTTGTTCAGTTTCTCTTTAGTTTCAACTGCCCTAGGAGCTGTATCAGTGAAGAAATTGTTTTGGCATAAGTCTGAGATTTTGTTGCCTTTGTATTCTTCTAGAATTTTTATGGTTTCCTGTCGTACATTTAAGTCCTTTATCCATTTTGAGTTTATTCTTGTGTATGGTGTAAGTTGGTGGTCTAGTTTCATTTTCTTGCATATATCTGTCCAATTTTCCCAACACCATTTATTGAAGAGACTATCTTGGCTCCATTGTATGTTCATGCCTCCTTTGTCAAAAATTAATTGAGCATATTGGTTCGGGCTAATTTCTGGACTCTCTATTCTATTCCACTGGTCTATATGTCTGTTCTTGTGCCAGTACCAGGCAGTTTTGAGAACAGTGGCTTTGTAATACAGTTTGATATCTGGCATTGAGATCCCACCTACTTTGTTCTTTCTCAGGATCGCTGCAGCTATTCGGGGTCTTTTTTTATTCCAGATGAATTTTTGGAGAGTTCGTTCTAGATCTTTGAAGAAGGCCATTGGTATTTTAATGGGAAATGCGTTGAATTTATAGATTGCTTTGGGTAGTATGGACATTTTAATGATGTTGATTCTACCAATCCAAGAACATGGTATGTTCTTCCATCTGTTTATGTCTTCCTCTATCTCTTTTTTCAGCGTCCTGTAGTTTTCTGAGTAGAGGTCTTTAACCTCTTTAGTTAAGTTTATTCCTAGGTATCTTAATTTTTTTGGTGCGATGGTAAATGGGATTGTTTTTCTAATCTCTCTTTCTGAAAGTTCACTATTGGTGTATAGAAATGCCTCAGATTTCTTGGGGTTAATTTTGTATCCTGCTACATTGCCAAATTCATGTATTAAGTCTAGTAGCTTTTTGATGGAGTCTCTAGGGTTTTGTATGTATAATATCATGTCATCTGCAAATAAGGACAGTTTTACTTCCTCTTTTCCAATTTGGATGCCTTTTATTTCTTCTTCTTGCCTAATTGCAATGGCTAATACTTCCAGTACTATGTTGAACAGGAGTGGTGAGAGTGGGCATCCCTGTCTTGTTCCTGTTCTTAGGGGAAATGGTGTTAGTTTTTGACCATTGAGTATGATGTTGGCTGTGGGCTTGTCATATATGGCTTTTATTATGTTGAGGTATGATCCTTCTATTCCCACCTTTCTGAGAGTTTTTATCAAAAATGGGTGTTGGATTTTGTCGAATGCTTTTTCTGCATCAATTGATATGACCATGTGGTTTTTTTCTTTCAATTTGTTTATGTGATGTATCACATTTATTGATTTACGGATGTTGTACCATCCTTGCATCTCTGGGATAAATCCTACTTGGTCATGGTGTATGATCCTTCTGATGTACTGCTGGATCCGATTTGCTAAGATTTTGTTGAGGATTTTGGCATCTATGTTCATGAGGGATATTGGCCTGTAATTCTCTTTCATTGTGATGTCTTTACCTGGTTTTGGTATTAGGGTGATGCTGGCTTCATAGAATGAGCTTGGAAGTGTTCCTTCCTCTTGAATTTTTTGTAGTAGTCTGAGGAGGGTAGGTTTTAGTTCTTCCTTGAATGTTTGGTAAAACTCCCCTGTGAAGCCGTCTGGCCCTGGGCTTTTGTTTGCTGGAAGCTTTCTGATGACTGCTTCAATTTCTTCCATAGTTATTGGCCTATTGAGGTTTTTAGATTCTTCCTGATTGAGTTTTGGAATGTTGTATTTTTCTAGGAATTTGTCCATTTCCTCCAGGTTGTCTAGTTTGTTGGAGTAGAGTTGTCCGTAGTATTGTTTAACAATCATTTGTATTTCTGTGGGGTCTGTTGTTATTTCGCCTCTATCATTTCTGATTTGGTTTATTTGGGACCTTTCTCTTTGCTTCTTTGTGAGCCTGGCGAGTGGTTTGTCAATCTTGTTTATCCTTTCAAAGAACCAGCTCTTGGTTTCATTGATTTTCTGTATTGTTTTTTTGGTCTCTATGTCATTGATTTCTGCTCTAATCTTTATTATCTCCTTCCTTCTGCTCACTCTGGGGTTTTCTTGTTGCTCTCTTTCTAATTCTTTGAGTTGTAGAGTTAGATGATTAACTACCATTTTTTCTTGTTTTTTGAGATAGGCCTGTAGAGCTATAAACTTCCCTCTCAGGACTGCTTTCATTGTGTCCCAGAGGTTTTGGATTGTTGTGTTTTCATTGTCATTAGTGTCCAGGATGTTTTTAATTTCTTCTTTGATGTCATCGGTAACCCAATCAATATTTAATAACATGCTATTCAGCTTCCAAGTGTTTGA